TTCCCCTTAAAACCCTGGCCCAAGCTGGGCCAACAAGTCATTGTCTTCCTTTCTGAAAGCAGAACTAACACAGCCAGACATCTCAGCATAGGGCAGTCATAAAGAGTAGCCAGAGAATTGGAACCAAAAAGGCAAACAGCATTACAATGGCCATACTTCCAAGGAGGAGCTTCTGATGCAGAGAGAAGTAGACTCACCCCAGGGCAGGGGCCACCTCCCAGGGACCTGGGTTCCCAGGAGCTTGTCTCCAGTTCTGTCATCTGTGCTCGGCCTCCGTTAGTGCTGTGTCTGCACCTATGAAGTGAGATCACACACTCCTGCCAATCTCATGGGATCCCTGTGAACATCAAGGAAAAGGTACCCACGAGACACAACTGAGACATCTTTAAATCTGAGAAAATATGTTTCCTTCCTTTTGTTGGTTTGTGGGTTTTTCTTCTTGGTCTATCAACCTTGGATGCAATTTATCTTATGGGTCAAAGGAAATATCTGTCAGAATCCCAGCAGACACCTGCCAGAAAAGAGAGAACTTAATAATGGTTTAAAAAAGAGGCTGGTGGGCTGGGCATGTTGGTTCACTCCTGTAATCCCAGCACTTTGGGAGGTCAAGGCGGGCAGATCCCCTAAGGTCAGGAGTTCAAGACCAGCCTGGCCAACATGGTGAATCCCCATCTCTATTAAAAATACAAAAATTATCCAGGCATGGTGGCATGCACCTGTAATCCTGGCTACTTGGGAGACTGAGGCAGGAGAATCACTTGAGCCCGGAAGGCAGAGCTGCAGTGAGCTAAGATCATGTCATTGCGCTATAGCCTGGGAAAAAGACCAAAACTTTGTCTCCAAAATAAATAAATTAAAAAGAGGTTGGCACAGAACCAGGGCTCCCTTCGACTGCACTTGCAATCCTCCGATGAAGGCAAACAACTTACTGCCCTCCAAATCTCAATTTAGAAAAGGCCCACGTTGTCCAGGCATGGTGACTCACACCTACAATCCTAGGACTTTGGGAGGTGAAGGCAGGAAGATCACTTTAGATCAGGAGTTCGAACCAACATGGTGAAACTCCATCTCTAATAAAAACAGAAAAATTTTGATTTGGCTCTCTTTAAGTCTGTTATTGGTGTATAGGAATGCATGTGATTTTTGCACATTGATTTTGTATCCTGAGACTTTGCTGAACTTGCTTATCAGTTTCAGGAG